AAGATTCCTTATAAGATTATCTACCGTTATCAAAAAAAAAATGTCTATAAGAAAGTCAAATTAAATTTTTATGAGCGTTTGAAATTCAAATTTTTACAACATTGGATATTCACTCGATTTCTCATGTAGCGATTTCCTTATTTTGTTGTAATTCAAAAACGAACAACTGTAGATACATGAAAATTTCACTGAATGTTTAAATTAGCATTTTCTATACACCATAAAATTTTGAAAATATTTTGACTCTTATTGAGCTGTTTACGGACATTTTCAGTTTTCAATTTTTTTAGTTTTTTTTTCTATAAATATCAATTAAGTTTTATCTGTTGGGCCAAAAACTTTAAAAATTTAATACAAGGCTCCTGATATATTGTTACAATATCAGTTCAAAAAAATTGAAAATACATAGCCACAATTTTTTTTTATAATCATTTAAATTTGAAATTTTGTTGTGATTGAATAATATTATTCGTGGGTACTTGAAACTTCTAAAGTGTACTATTATATATCTATGATAGTATCACGGTTTTTGTTGGTGTATAACGCGTTATAAGTACCTAATGGATATTGTGATATACTGATATGATTAATTTGGAATTTATTATAGGTACCATATTATAGATCAATTTTTTGTTTAATATCATAGATATGTATATAATATGTCTTATACCTAGACTGACATACCGTCTCCGCTCAGAATCGTTTTTCTTGTACAATGATATTATAATATCGTTGAATTCAAATTTAATATCATCCATTATACAGTGACCCACTTGTAACCTACTGTACAGCAGAGCGACACCCACTTGCAGTTGCCCACCTTTTTTATTATGTAATTTCGTCCGAACTTAAAATTACTAAAAAATGAACTGTGCTTCTGTATTTTTTAGATTTTTTGGTAACAGAATCAAGTGGAATCTTGTTTTAAATTTTCAATCCTTAGATATAAAAGTTAAACATTTTATAAATTTTGTTAATTTTGTATAATTTTTATTTATCATATAATAGGTATCATTATATACGAAAAACGATTGTGAGCAGTGACACTGATTCAGTGTGGATATTTTATAATTATATTTATATAGTTATCACTCATTATTAATACAGTAGCCGGTAAGTTGAAATATTATTATAAAATTACAATAAAATAACTAAAACCGTTATTCTTGGTTAGGTATTAAATATGTAATTTTCTCCAAATTTGAACATAAAGTAACTATAACAAAAATCTGTGTTTTTAAAATAATAATTATTATACAGGGTAATTTTTTTAAGCATACTCACTCCCATTTTTTCTTTTAATAGTACATTTATCCAAATTCTGATTCTTAGAATTCTTAGAATTTCTAAGTATGCCTCAAGAGTAAAGATCGTATTTTAAATTCCTGATATTTTTTGTGCGTCTGAAGGAGTGTCCTGAGGCAATACAAAATCCTATATTCCTATTTTCCAAATGATAACCCCCTCTTTTATACTTCATAATATTTAGCAGATGATTTTCTTGAAAATGTTGATGTATCTAAAATCTAAAACAAAATCGTGGTTGTGCACTGTCTTGTGCAGTTGTGCGTGGATCAGAGAGATAAAACAAATAGTGCGCTGAGTGCTGAGTGCTGACCATAGACATATAAAAGAATGGACCGCGCATATCATATCCCAGTAGTGTATTTGGTTGAGTCAAAGATATGTGCGAGAGAGACAGACTTATGTTAGAATTCCCAAAGACATTCCAACCAAAATATTTTATCGTCCTTGAATATTTATATATTTTTTTAATGATAACGACAACCAACGAATGATAACATTTTAAAATCATTCCCCGCGTTATAGCATTTTGTTTATTTGGTTAAAACTTATGTTTTGAGTTATAAAGTTTAAATTTTAAAATTAAAATGGTTCTTATGTGCTCTGTGAGAAGCTGTAAAACCAAACATTCCAAGAATTCTGACATAAAGTTCCACAAGTAAGTACTACCTGTAATATAAGTAAGGTTTACATTATAATTAAAAATGATACACATATTATATCTAAGTTCATAAATAAATTACCTTTTAATCCATATAGGTTTCCTACAAATGAAGAGTTGAAAAGCAAATGGTTATTAGCCATTAATAATGAAAGTTGGTTTGTGCCATCCCAGCATTCTGTTGTATGTAGCAAACATTTTGATATAGGTGATTATCAAACTAATGCTTTGGGGAACAAGAAGCTGAAAATGAATGCTATCCCAAAATCAACAATCATTCGTAGATCTTTACTTGAAGGTGAGAACAAATTACTGAAGTTAGGAACCTGCAATGTAAGTTAATTATATTTTACTAAGACACAATATATATATTTTAAATTAGATTTCGAGGTACTTCATCATTCAAAAGACAACGACAGTGACGGAACTATATTTGATTCAAATGATAGTGATGGTAAAATTAATATTGAATCCAATATTATGTTTTTTCAATTATTGTAAATAATATGTAAACATTTTTTAGTTATAGTGAACACTGGAGTAGTCAATGATTTTGTAGAAGATGGTATATTATTGTCAGAAATATCAAATAATTCTAAAGTGGATCTTGAAAACTCAGTTGTACAACAGCAACATGAAGAAAATAATATTAGTATGAATTCATCAACCTCAACAAAAACACCTCCACAAAAGTATTATATTTTTTTTTTCAATTGTTTTTATACAATTTTTTTATGTACTAAAAAATGAAAATTTTTAGGAGAAGAAAACTATTTCGTTACTTGGGAGATTATGAAGAAGAAGATTTGGAAACCCCTAGAAAGAGGAAAATGTTTTGGACTGTTTATAAAAAAACCTTAGAAAAAAAAGCCAATACTGAAAGACTGTTAAGACAAAAAAATCATAGATTGCAAGCTAAAATAAGGACATTAAATACATTAATTGATAGTTTACAAGCCGATAACAAAATTACAGCCAATTGTTCCAATATTTTGACGGTAACTTAAAACTAAAACCTTCAACCTTCATCTACCTATCTTCATCTCAAAAATATACAACATAGCAAATTTATTTAAGCTAAATTTGGTATGTTGTCAAGACAACAAAAACTAAGTTTTACATTATTTAACTATTATGTTACTTGATTTATTATGTGCAGCTGGGAGTCAACATATTGTAGAAGATGAAGATGAACTATTAACAGTATACCAAAATTCCAATTATATTAAAGATGTGGTGGGGTATATCGCTGGATTTGTGGTGAGATCCATTTTGAAGCGTATTCAGTGTGAAGTTTGTGCTAAAGAAATAAAATCACATGAAACAAATTCACTATTACTGAATAAAAAAAATAGAGGTGGTCTTACAATGGCCAATGCTGATGTAGTTAGTATATGTCAGGTTGCAGAACGTACAGTCAGAGAATATTCCAAAAAATCTAACCACATAAGTATTGACTATTTGGTATTAAAATCAATATCAATGTTATGTATAGATAAATATTTTTTAAATTTAACAAACCACTTTATGGATCAAGAACCGCTCAATAACCATTTGATACAGATGATTAGGTTAATACTTAAAACATTTATAACCATAAGAATCCATCATATTAACACAACTTCAAATGAAATAGACCAAAGAGTAAGAAGGTTATTTACTAAACTAATCCATTTTAAACACCAGTGAAAAAAATACTGTAAGGAAATACTTTGTTTCAAAATATTATTGTATTGAGTTTAATTTTTAAGGAACTATCACTATTGTAAAATAAATTAGTTGTTACACTTAGTTATTTGTTAATTTGTTATGAAGCTAAAAAATATATTGACTAAGTTTATAAAATGTTAATTTTTAAATAAACTATTATTAATAACTAAACAATAAAGCACCATTTTTACTTACTTTTGTGATAATATAATATAGCGTATAATATAATAATTATAGTGGTAGTAACTGGTAAGTATAAAGTAACTTACTTACCTTAATCTTGAAATATTCACAGATTACAGACATACTAGATTAAAATATAATACTGCCCAAAACAATACAGGTATACTGGTATACAGAAATAGTCAAATAGAACTACTTCAATAGCTCAATAATAATATTATGTAATGGCACGAAAATAAAATATTTCAAAGACTAATTAATATATTTTTGCTTATATCGTCTTTGGTATTTCTAACATAGCCCTTTCTCTCTCGCACATATCTTTGATTCACGTATCTCTCTCTATGCGCGGTCCATTCTTTTATATGTCTATGGTGCTGACATACCATAGAACACGGACTAAGATATACAGGACTGGACACGACAAGGTTGGAGGGTGTGGGGGGGTTGACTACGAAATGTTTTACAACAGGTAGTGTTCGGGGGGATATTTTCCTTTTAGCATTACTAGCGCCGTCCTAGTGGATACTTATGGAACTAGAACACATCATACAAATTTCTAGTTCGATAAGTATCCACTAAGACGGCGCTAGTAATGCTAAAAGGAAAATATCCCCCCGAACTCCGCCTGTTGTAAAACATTTCGTAACCACAATATTCATCTCGTGTCCAGTCCTGTATATCTTAGTCCGTGCCACAGAATATAATATTATATTATAATGGTCATACTGTCTTTCCCAAAAGTTTTATCATTCTTCAAACATGATTATTATCTGTGGATTTATCAGTGTTCCGTTATCAGTACGAAATACTGAATATTAGTGATTACTGATTCCTGTTTTCGTCTTTCGATCATCCATTACCGAATGACCGAAACGATAGACAGGATAGAAAAAATATGTAGAATCAATGGCTTAGAATTTCTCTTATGTTTCCACCAGTTATTATTGTCTCATAGATTTAATTATCGAAAGAACACCATCATCGTACAATAAAATGTTCTAAACATTCGAGTGAGCTATTTATTAAATTAACTTTTATGATGTCTGTTAAAACCACCGATTAACGATTTTTTTTATCTCATAGTTTAATCTGTGCAAGTGTGTAAATACACTGTTCAACGATCGATGTTCAGTTAAATATGTCTTCTGAAATGGGACCAAAACAAGCCGGACGATCGGTACGTATTTTATTAGTCGGCGACAGGGACGTTGGTAAGACATCGATCATATTGTCCCTGGTCAATGAAGAATTTTTGGATGAAGTGCCCGGCAGGTCTGAAACAATAACGATTCCTGCCGAAGTTACCCCTGAATTGGTGCCTACAGATATTATCGATTACCACGGTAGGTGTTCATTTCATTTATAAAGATCACTTAAATTTTATGGCTAATGTTTTGGCATATAATTTTAGAGAATGAACAAGATAATGAAGAATTATGCGAACAGATACGGCATGCAGATGTGATTTGCCTGGTATTTTCTGTGGTAGACGATTCTAGCCGACAAAACATTAAAGATAAATGGATGCCATTATTAAGAGACTGTCAACTAAACAGTGATATATTTCACCCTGTTATATTGGTGGGAAATAAAAGCGATCTCATCAATAGCATTTCAATGCATGTAAGTATATAATAATCCGTAATTATTATCTTAACTTTATTATAGACCTATGAATTTATTTTTATTTATTTATTTTTATTTTAAAGCTTGTCGAAGATGTTTTATATGAATATCCTGAAATAGAAACCTATGTTCAAGTAAATATTATAAGTTGTTTGAGTTGTTTTAAATTTATTTATATTTAATCCTGTATATTGTGTATTTTAGTGTTCAGCAAAAATGTTAATGAATATTAGTGAAATGTTCTGTTACGCCCAGACAGCAATTCTACATCCCACAGCTCCATTATATTCTGTTGAGGATAAAATTGTAAATTGTTAATTAATTAAGTAAATATTTGTAAATATATAATATAATATACTATTGTTTCAGCTTACTGAAAAGTGTAAAAGAGCTCTATGTCGTATATTCAAAGTAAACCAGAAATATCACTTTAAAATTGTTGAATATTTCTTATTAAAAGTAATGTGTTATAGATCTGTGACGTAGATAATGATGGACTGCTTAATGACGAAGAACTAAATAATTTCCAGCGACATTGTTTCGATTGTCATTTGCCTTTACAACAACTGAATGGCATCAAAACTATTATTAACATGAATTGTGAACGTGGGATTTCACCATCAAACTGTGTCACTCTAGAAGGTATTTTATAAATATAATAAGTATCAATATGAATATTGGATAAAAGTATAATACATAATTTTTTTATTGTTACAAACACAGTATTTTATTTGAACATAAGATAATTTAAAAAATATCTAGCAGGTTTTTGTGAGAATATTATTATATTTTACTAATAAATTAATAGCACTGGCACTTTATTCAATTTAACGATGTTATTTAAAAAAATCTAGGTTTTTTGTTCCTGCACATGTTGTTTATACTTAAAGGAAAATCACAAACTACCTGGACTGTGATTAGAAAATTTGGGTACAATGACGATTTAAATTTTTCATACAGCTATCTTCATCCTAAGTATACTACACATACTCAACCACATGCATATAATTATGTTAATACCATATTTGTTTTGTAGCTTAAAAATTGATAAATATTGTACCATAGAGTTATCTCATAAAGGTGAACACTTTTTGTCGCGCTTATTTGAGACACATGATAAAGATAAAGATGACTGCTTGAGTCCAGTTGAGTTGAAATCATTATTTTCCATGTGCACAGAAGACCCACAACTTTTAAGAAAATGCATATATAATACAAATCATAAAGTAATTAATATTTTTAAAAACTTACGATTAACTTTTTTATTAATATAATTTTATTAGGGATGGATTACTTCACAAGGGTGGCTGTCTTTTTGGTCTTACTGTACTCTGGTTGAATCCGATACTACATTAGCATATCTAGCCATGCTAGGTTATAGCATGAAACCAGAAAACCAACTTTCAGGAATTCAAGGTGAGATATAAATAAAAATTAAATACAACATAAAGCCAAATTAATTAATTATTACTATTATTTTTGTTTTTTTTGCAGTTACTAGGAGTAAGCAAATTGATTTGCAGAAGAAACAGTCTCAGCGATCTGTATATATTTGCCACGTGATTGGAAGTAAGGGGAGTGGCAAGTCAACAATATGTAAAAGACATGTCAAAACTGCAAAAATTGATGTAAATTAAAATATTATGTTTGATGTAGACAAATATGATTTTTTTGAAAATATTTTAGAATTGCTTTGAGGATGCTGAGGATATAACATCAGTAAATCGTGTTCAAGTGTATGGCCAAGACAAATATTTGGTTCTTAAAGAAATTAAGCCAATTAGTGAAAATCATTTGACTAAAAATGACATTAAATGTGATGTGGTATGTCTAGTATTTGATTCTTCGCAGAGTTGTTCATTTGAATATACCGCACATGTATATTTGGTAAGTTTAATTAATAAATCTGTTTGCATCATTTAATCATAATTTTTATTGGCAGAAATATTATCAGAGCAGAAACATTCCAGTTCTGATTGTAGCAAATGACAAAGGTAGGCCCTTAATGAAACAAGACTACATATTACAACCAGATCAATTTTGTAAACAAAACAGATTATCATCACCGTACATATTTATAAATTCCAATGAAGGAAAAAAACTGTACTCAAATTTAGCAACAATGGCTTCCCTTCCGTAAGTAATATTATAGTTATACTTTTGAATTATAATATTTACTTTCTTTGGAAGGTCCATCAATATTGAAGTGTTATTGAATTTTTATTATTTTCAGACATAAATACAGTCCAAATCAGTCTAGTATTATACCAAGTTTACGAGAATCAATTTTATTCATCTGGAAAACAGGCATTGGCGTGGCCATGGTAGCTCTGTGTGGTGTTTTGGTTGGTAAATGTCTAGTGAAATCGAAAAAAGATCTGTTGAGTTAAGATGTGCAAAATAGTACAATAATGTTGTTGTTTTTAGATTTATTTTATTCCAAACAACAATATTTTGAACTTTCTTCTATTTTTTTAAATTATCGAATTACTACTACATAGTGTTATATTTGTATTGATTTTATTTATCATGAAAATCGAATATCGATAAATATTTATGTATACATTTGGGTAACATCAGATACCAATGTTTTGACTTCATAAATATTTAAAAGTTTATAATATTTCCATGTGTAGAAACGTTAACCTATTATTATGATTACCTTATACAAGCTTATATGTTTTATTAATTAGATTTTGATTGTTTTTAAATAGAATATGATTAAAATATCATTATCTTTATTTCATTTTGTGTTTAAAATATTGTAGTACTATATACCCTCATCCAACTCATTTTTATCCATTTTATTATACGTATAACAATTTTAAATTCTGTTCATAATATTATTAAAAATTAAATATTATTTTAATAACAATTTAGGTAGCAACCTTTAACATATAACAACAACTTGGTTGTTATCAAATCATAAGAAACCACAAAATTATTCTTTTAGTACCTAGTACAACTGAACATGTATTATTTTGTGTACTTATGTCAATATTATGTTCTGGTTACTGAATTACCACCATCTGAAATGGTTAATCACTCGATTTTGCAAGTAGTTATTATTTTTTTTTTTTCATACAAGCTAGTTACTTTTAATGTAATAAAATTAACAAACCTAACATAATATTGTCATAAAATACTGAGTTGGTTCGAAATGAAAAAAAAAATTAGTCGTTTTGAGTTAATTATTATTCCTATTATAGTACATTATGCAAACGTTTTAAATTCTTAGCGGATTGAAAACTGTATTGATTTTACAATGATGTGTGTGTGTGTGTGTGTGTGTGTGTGTGTGTGTTTTTTCTATCTGTCGTCACTTTTTGGGGTGGTAAAAATTTGAAATTCAGTGAAAATTTCATGTATCTACGGTCATTTGTTTTAAAGTTACACCAAAAACCAAATTCAATTTTCTGAAAAATCGATTTTGCGTAAAAATTCCCGTTTTTCCTTAATTTTTCTTTTGTTTTTCTTGGCGCTTTTGAAAAGTACTGGGAATTTTAAATTTTGACCTCCCCAATGCACCAACGATATTCACTTTTCAATCAAACAAGATACTGAAGTCGAAAATCGAAGCATTATTTCGACTACTTATCGTGTACACAGACACAAAAAAAAATAAAAAAACACATCATTGTAAAATCAATACATTCATCGTTTCACTCAGAATCTAAAAGTTTTAAAAAAACATCATTGTAAATCGTATCCTCTCAGAATCTAAAAGTGGCTTGATCGATCTCAAGTAGACATGTTAAAGATATAAAATCAGTTTTCAGAAGTCCATCAGGTTCATTGTTCATCGGTATGATTGATAAAAGATTGATACATTTTGTTTGAAATAATTGTCAGTTCGGAATACCCTTAACGTTAAGGTATGGCGGTGGACAGGTTTTAAGGAGTTAAAAAGAGGCAATTTTCAAATTGCATGCATGCAGGTCCGTAGATGAGCTCGTAGTAAGTGATCATTAGTTGTGTGTGACTGTAGTGTAAAAGAAATACCTGAGCTCTTCCGTACATGTATAGGTGTAAATGACACTAAATGTATAAGTCAGCGTTGCTCGCGTGAACGGTATACGATTTATGCTCAATATTGTATATGCATTTGCCGTCCAGATCGACCTAATAATGCGGTAATATTCTAGAAAACTGATCTGAATTCTCAATAATTTCTACTCGAGATCGATCAGTCCACATTTGAAAATTCTGATTTTAATGCCGAACAATCGACGTTTGAAATCTTATAAATTGTAAAATATTCAAACCAAATTTATAAGAATTGGGGGATGAAATTGGGAAAAGTGGACAGATCGGTCTCAAGTTGACATAACAACGAATTCAAATCAGTTTTCATTTTTTCAAATGTATTATCGAATTACTAAGTCGATCAGTATAAATGGACAAAATATTGATATGTCTTAGCTAAAATAACTGATCGCCACCAATAATTATTACTAATATTATATCATATTATATAGGATTGGCTATTGATTCCATGGTGGTGGTCGTTGTGGTAGCAATAACTACTTGCCGCCGTTGATCTTTACAATAATAATAATTCTTGCCTGCCCGTTTGCAAGACCGGCTAGCGGGTGAACGCGGAGACCGTCTAATCGAATGACACTGACATACCTACCCCTAAGGCCTAAGGCCATAAACTTAAAAATTTTAATTTGAGACCACATTTAGGTATGTCTAAATGAATTCCTTGTGCCCTTATATACATATACACAAATTCGGCCAATCACAAACGAGACAAAATAATGTAGAATGACGTTTGTAAGTTAAAATTACCTATAATACAATTTTCACTAATATAGGTATATCAGTTGCAACTTGCTGCAGCAGTAGGTACATTATTATTTAAACGAAGTGTAAGGCTTTATAAATATATTTTTTTTTAAAGAAAATAATACATTTTGTAGGTAATATTAATATTATAATCTCGTATCACAAAAAAGTCAGTAAAAAAATTATTCACAATAAAACACACAATATGCTATGTATAAAAGTACATTATTAAATTTAAACAGTAGTAAATAATAATTTTTAAAAAAATGTATATAATAATATGATCTAAACATGATAATATATTAGCTCACATAATATTATATAGGTAGGTACCTAGTTTATTTGCAAAACATTATTTGAAATACATTCATTAATTATATTAAGTAGACAATTTTTTTGGCCTAGTTATAATATTAATTGTTAATCATATACTTATCTTATAAGTATAATAATGTATATCTAAGCTTATGAACAATTTATAATATTTACATGTTATCCGTGCAGCATGTTTATCTGTGTGTTCGAGAGGCAGAAATCATTTCGAAAACAAAATTGCTTCGTTTTTGTGCAAAGCATCCTTAAACTTAAAGTTTTCAAAATTATTTATAGTTTTCAAAATAATTTTGTGATGCATGCACACAATACAGTTAAGTAGATATATTGACTTCTGCCTGTTAAACTACTCAGATAAAAATCCGACGTTACAATAACAATAATAATAATAATAATAATAATAAATTTCGTTGCATTTCATCTTGGAAAGCATGAGCGCTGGATGGGGCTTGGTTAAAAAGAAATATAATATAATTGGGTGGATAATTTCGTACATAGTTCTTAAAAATTACGAGTGAATGGCAGCGATGTGATGCGTATTATATACGATATCAAATACATTTTAGAAAAAAAATTCGGTATTCATTGTGTCTGGACGGTTAGATTTTTCAATACAAAAAAAGAGTATAAAAGTTATATAAAAATGTAATGTTTTGTAGCAATGTGGCGTGTATCGCTTACCGTTACGCATACAATTATATTATTATTTATATTACCTATATATACGTAGTTATGTTTTCTAAATTTCTAATCGTATCGTTAAATTAAATTAAATTCAGTTGTATAAAATCGCTTGGAAAAAAAATTGATGTAAACAATTAACGTTCTTTCTAAAAGTGTCTTACTACAATAAATAACTAACCTATTTTTTTTTTAAATAAACTAAATGTAATAAATATAAAATACTCATTAGAACCAGTCTCCAATGTTTTCACGATGGCATACCATGTTTGTCTTTTGTTTTTTTCGTCGTAAAATGATGGTATTTATGTATTGAGCAACGTAATGCCTCGAAAGTGGACATTTCGCTCGATGTGGTTAATAATGAGAAAAAAAAGTAAAAAAGGTAAAATAAAAAAAATTGACGGTCGTCTACTTTTGGTTCTCGTTGCTCGTTAACTGTGGTATTTGGCACTATGTCGTTGAACGTTTATTTTCTTATTATTCACCTCCTCTTTTGGTCGATCGCTTCGGCCATCATTTTTCTGAGCAAAGGCTCCGGACTGCAAGGCTTAGGATCGCATTTCATCTTGCCATCGGCACCGCATCTGCAATACCGAAAACCATAGTTATAGTACATTCACACCAAGGAATAGGTATAGTCTAATATTATTTTAATTTTAAGTTTTCCCGACAATAATTACATAAATATAAACTAAAATTTATAATATTATTGATATTTATTCCATGACTTACTAATACATAGTGGTACTTACTACCTAGTATCTATATACTTTTTTTAAAAAATATTTTTAAAACCAATAGCATAGTTTTCGAATGGCAAAGAGAGATTGGTAGTTAACCAATCCATTGGTACCATTGGTATTTAGATATAGGTACTTACATGCACTCGAGACAAGGACCAGAAGCGATTCCCACGTCTTCGCCCACTCTGTAAGCGTGTCCGTGGATAAGACATCCGGTACGCCTGGCCGCCCCCCGGTAGGCGTTGGCGAAGAAATGTGGTGGCACTACGGTCGTAGTTGAAGTGGTAGACGTGGTCACGTTGACGGACGTGGCTTGGGCCACCGGACACTCGTAACGTGGACAACAGAAACCTTGTATGTTCTCCTGGTAACACCCGAATATGGGTGGCGGGCAGCTCTGTTGCAGGCAAATTATATCGCCACGGAAACAGAAACAGAAATCGCATGGATCGTCCCTGGGCACTTGCTGGGCAGACACGTATATCTTGCCACCGTATCTGTTACAATAATTTTTTTTAAATGCCATTAGTATATATTATAAATATATTGTAATTTGTAGCTTCTTTAAAAGTTAACACCAATCAGTGCGCGTAACTCGAAAACGTATTCAGGATAGTAGAACCAATTTCTAATGGTTTGAAAATTTAAGTTAGGATATTAAAAAGTGAGGTTTAAATAATGATAGTAATACATTATGAACACTCCTTCTAAACACGATACTATGCAATGATGTATTTTATGCACAGTAAAATAGTTCAAATCGTATGATAGTCATGAAATGGTGATTCTTAATATCTCCCTAACCCAATTACAACAATAAGAAAATCAAAATTTATCACTCACCTGCATGTGCCTGATCCGTAAGATGCTTCGTTTTCATCTTCGTACTCGTCCGGGAATCCTTGATCTGGTTGTAAAGTCGCTTCGGATGTAGACTCTTGGTGGAATGGTTTTTGAGTCCACGTCGATTGCGGGATTGGCGTGTACGAAGGCTTCTTGGGGTAATTCGCGAGTGGAGCGTTTGTGGAAGGGTTGAAAGCAGGTGTCTCCGTATCAAGAGGTATGTGCACAGCACCACCGGTTTCCGGTCGAGGATGTCCATTGTAGTGGTTGTTGACGTTTCCTCCTTGTACAGGAGGACGGAACGATGAGCTACTCAGATCGCTGAACCTATTGTCATTGTTGTCAGGAGTACTGGCTTCTGGCCGACCGGTCACCGCTACTTGTGACGGGACTTCCGCTGGCACATCCGAATCAGGCGTAATCTGACTATTCACGTCATCTGGTTTCTCTTCCGCGGCTGGCTTACCTACTACCGCTGTATCTTCCACATGCACCTCATGTTGTTCGGACGACGGTGAACTGATCTCGGGCGTCTTGTTGTCGTCGACTACCGCAGCTAATTCCGGTAATGGTGAGTTGGTATTTGGTTCGGCGGCGTTCTGAACATGTGGCAGAATTGGATCGCTAGGAGTTTCCGGTCCATTGTCGTTTGTCAAGTCTTGCTCACCGGAACTCGGCAATCGTTGGGTTGTTGGAGATTCTAACGGAGTTTTATTATCGTCGACTGCCGTTTCAACTCCAGGATGGTTAGATGGTAAATCAGTCGATACTCCTTGGTCGGCGGAATTTACTTCAGACTGTGGCAAAATGTTTGGAATTTGGGTTGCTCCCGCCACTCCGTCCGCAACGTTTTCGGACGATGGCGAAATGTTTGATTCCGTTGTAGCCGTTGGAATTTCTGGTGAAATTTCGTTTATTGCATCTGTTTGTTGTGATTCTGGTGCACCATTTACACTGCTCACAGTGGTCGGAGGTTCGTTAGTGTATTCATACTGTGGATAATTTTCCGGCACGATTGTTGGTTGATTGTCGTCTTCGAATAACCCAGGCTGTTGGTCCAAGGTTTCTGTAGGTTTTGATGAAGTTTCTAAAGAGTTTTTAACCGCGTCCTTGACCAAGTAAACCGATGAAATGATGTCGTCAATACTTGTTGGTCTTAAACCACCGACGTTATTATCGGAAACCATAGGTTTTTCATCTGCTACAACCGTGGGCATTTGAGTTCCTATTTCTAATTGATTAACTTCACTCACGGGCAAATCCATTACTTCATTGGCAGGTTTCTGGTTGGAATCTTCATTGATGGATGTATTATTAGCCCCTTCACTTGCTTTGTTATCAGTATCCACTTGTTGCTGATCTAAAATAGAATCACTGGGCTTGTATGTAGTGGCAGCAATCGATACATCGGATTCGGAGTTTTGTTCTGGTTGATTTTGATCACTAGCAGGAATTACATTTGTTACTGCAGGTTCATAGTTCTCTGGCACTTGGGTTGATGGTAATTGGTCTTCGGATTCATTGGCCGTGTTGGCTAATACATTCTGTTCTTCGATATTATTTATTGTTTCTGGTTTGTTCGTTATTGATTGGTCATCGGTTACGTAAGAAGTCGTTGTAAAATCAGCTTCAGAATTTTCGATTGGTTTTTTGTTTTCAATCTCTTGATTAATTTCAGTGGGTTTATTATTTTCTGTTAGTTGATCACTTTCAGTTGGTTTATTGTTTTCTTCCAGTTTTTCATAATCTTCCGGTTTATCACTATCGGCTGGTTTTATGTTTTCCGATGACGGATCACTACTTACAGGTTTTGTGTTGTCTATTGTTCCAAGATTAACAGCAGTTACTGGTGCATCGCTTTCACCATCTGTAGATACAACATCTTCAATAGGTTTATATGGGATTTCAGTATGTGCTGGAACTTCGGTCACACCAACACTATCTTCGGAATTTATATTAGAGTTCGAATCCAATTGTGATGGTGCTAAAGTGTTGTATTCTTGTGAATTTTGAGGATTAGACGTACTTAAAATTTCCTCGTCAGTATGCGTTTTTTCATCATTTACTTCACCAGGCTTATCTTCTAATACCACAGTGGATATTAACTGAGGAGAGCCAAGTTGATTATGACTATCAAACAACATTCCTTCTATGCCTCCTTCTGTAAAATAAAAATGATGAGATATATTTTATTTTTAACTAACATCGTATCATTCAGATTAGTACTCAAAACAAGTTAAAAAAAAAATATATCTATTTAAACACAATTAATTTTCATATAATTACTTACCACACATATAGGTTGGGCAACACCACGATTCGTTTCCTGGGTGTAAAGGTATACAGTTTCTATGTTGAGGTGGCGCAGGTGGACAGTTTACAGAAGTACACGTGACTATACTATTTAAGCACTCGCATTTTTCATGACACGGGTTAGATTTCGGAACTTCAGCTTTGTGTGCATAAGTCACAAAATCTATCAAACAGCTCCCCTCTCCTGGTACTCCTGGTTGTACGTTTTCGTATTGTTCTGTTACTACATCACTATTTTTGTCAACATTAGATGTGGTTACTTCATTTACAGAATCAACTGGTTCGTTCGTTATGATGGATTCCGGAGCATTCGATGATTCACTATAAACTGATGTTGTTATATCTATAACGTAATCGGGCGTTTTTGACACGAATGGCTTATCAGCATTCTGTGGACTTTCGGACGGTTTTCCATCAACAATCGGATTGACGTTTAATATATTATTTTCTGTAGGTGACTGAGTTGCGTATAATTCAGATTCAGTATTTGAATCTTGATTTATTTCATTAGGACCTTCCAGTTTATATGGTACATTGGTACTCGCCTCCACATCATTGATAATATTCATATTCGGAGATTCTTGAATAGGGCTATTAGTTGACTCATCACCCGCGCTGTATTGAGTTGATGCTTCATTAGAGCTTAGTTGTGGTACAACATTTTCAGGTCGATCATTGTTTACATTTGTTTCAACAGCCATTCGATGGATTTACTGTGAGCCGTTTTCAACCATTTGACTTGTAGTGTATCTGTAGCTGGTACTACATCAGCATAGCTATTTGTCGTCATTAAGTTGTCTGCATTATCTACACTTCCTGATATCGCTTGAATAGTTGCGCTTCCGACTGAAAGTCTCCATTGTATCTTTAATTGGTTTTTCATCGGATATTTGTGAATTTAAACCAGTTTCTATTTTATCCGAGGAAGGAGTAACATTGTCAACATTATTAAAATTTGGTGAAGTGCTCGTAATCAAATTATTTTTATCATCTGAGGGAGCGTCTGGGTACACAGCTGTTGGATTTACAATCTCGTTAACATTCTCGTCTTGTGATTGTTCTTGAGGAGTGACGTTTTCATATTCATTGTTTTGCGCTGGGGCTTGCGTGGAAATAGATTGTTCACCATTACTATCATACAATACAGGCGATTCAGTAGGTGCTTCAGAATTTTGTACTCCATTTATTTCAGTTGGTACATAACTATCGGAAGATTGATCGGGTGAACCGTTTGACGACAAGTCGTTTGGTGTTTTTGTTTCGTCTTGTGTCGTTATTGGTTCACTAGGATTAATAACTTGAGGTTGTATAGGAATATTATTATCAGCTATTTGCAATTGTGGTGAATAAGTGGTAACATCATTTGCTTGTTCATCAGAAGACGATGGATATTTATTTGTCGACGCTTCCGATTCAGTTGGAGTTTCAGTTTGAAGTGTGATTTGGTGGTCTACCAAATCAGCATTAGGAAGGCTTTCGTCCTCTTCTCCTGAATGTTCGTCAACTGGTGGATTTTCATGAGACGAAGGATCATCCACCGATACACCGTGATTTATTACTTCCGTGCTTACATCATAGTTCATTCCAGTTATTGGCGTAACGGCTGGTTCCAAACTCACTGGGTTGTTCGATCCGAATTTATTATCGTTATGTTCAGCAACGACAGGTACATTTTCATTAGAATAACCGGACTTTCTGTTACTAATCACTGTTAACTTGTTATAAGCTGGATTAAGGTTATTGCATTTTCATTATTTTCATGATTTGCTTGTGGTACCAACTTTTGGCCTTCTGTTACTGTTTCAGTGTGACTTGCTGGTAATATGTTGACATTGTCGGTGGAATCAGATAACGACGGTTTGTCATCAGCTGATGGTTTTAGGACTTCAACAGACTTGTCTTCATTCTTTTCGGTCGAAGAAGATTTATCACTGGTATTGTTTTCACTGGATATTGAAGTAGACTCTTCACCTTTAACTTGATTATCTGAGAACAGTGGTGGTGATGTTGGTGACACAATAAATATATTATTATCTTCGTTTGGCTGTTCTGTTGCAGCATCATTTTCTGAAGCCACTGGTGAAACTGGTTGTATAGGACTATTTTCTGGTACTACATTTTCAGATTGTTTATTATAAGGTTTGGATGGAATTTCAGTTGAATATGTATTTTCGGATTGTGGACTAAATTGATTATTTTGTTCTACAGGTGTTTTATTTGGTTCTGGTTGATTGTCCTCTAATGCACTGTCCACTACTGGTTTATTTTGATCAATAGGTTCATTTTCTACTATAGGGACATCCGTTGGAGATACGTTTCTCTGACTGAGAACGTCTTGGTTTATTTTGTTCTACCGGCTTTTATCAGTTTCTGGTTGTTTTTCAGCTCCTGAAGTACTGTCCACTATTGGTTTATTTTGTTCAGTGGGTTCGTTTACTACCTTGGGAATTTCAGTTATAGATACATTCTCTGACTGAGGAGTGTCTTGGTTTATTTGTTCTACTGGTGTCTTATCCAATTCTGATTGGTTTTCAGCTTCCGAAGTACTGTCCACTACTGGTTTGTTTAGTTCTGTAGGTTCGTTTACAACCTTTGGAATTTCCGTTGGTGCTAAATTCTCTGTCGCAGGACTATCTTGATTTATTTGTTCTGCTGGTGTCTTATCAGATTCTGGTAGATTTTGAGTGTTCGTACTACTGTCCACTGCTGGTCTGTTTTGTTCAGTAGGATAATTTGCTACCATTGGAATTTCAGTTGGAGATACATTATCGGACTGAGAACTATCCTGGTTGTTTTTATCTACAGGTGTCTTTTCAGAATCTGGTTGGTCTGCATCTCCTAAAGTACTGTCCACTAATGGTTTATTTTGTTCAGTTGGTTCATTTTCTACTTTGGGGACATCAGTTGGAATAAAATTCTCTGACTGCAGGACTATCCTGTTTATTTTGGTAAACAGGGTTTTATCAGATTCTAGTTGATGTTCAGCTCCTGAAGCATTATCCACTACTGCATTATTTTGTTCAGTCGGTTCGTTTTCAACTTTCGGGACATCAGTTGGATATAAGTTCTGTGACTGAGGACTATCTTATTTTATTTGTTCTCCTGGTGTATTATCAGATTCTGGTTGGTTTTCAGTGCCCTTACTACTGTCCACTGCTGGTTTGTTTTGTTCAGTAGGTTCGTTTACTACATTTGGAATTTCAGTTGGAGATAAATTCTCTGACTGAGGGCTATCCGTGTTATTCTGTTCTACAGCTGTGTTATCAGATTCTGGTTGGTCTTCAGCTCCTGAAGTGCTGCCTACAACTGGTTTATTTTGTTCAGTCGGTTCGTTTTCAACTTTCGGAACATCAGTTGCAGGTACGATCTCTGACGGAGGACTATCTTGATTTATTTGTTCTACTGGTGTCTTATCAGATTCTGGTTGGATTTCAGTGCCCTTACTACTATCCACTGCTGGTTTGTTTTGTTCAGTAGGTTCGTTTACTACATTTGGAATTTCAGTTGGAGATGAATTGTCTAACTGAGGACTATCCGGGTTATTCTGTTCTAAAGCTGTGTTATCAGAAGTACTGTCCACAACTGGTTTATTTTGTTCAGTTGGTTCGTTTTCTACTTTAGGGACATCAGTTGGAGTTACGTTCTCTACTGCTGACTGTCTTGATTTATTTGTTCTGCCGGGTCTTATCAGATTCTGGTTGGTTTTCATCTCCCGAAAGTCCTGTCCAATACTGGTTTATTTTGTTCAGTCAGTTCATTTTCTACTTTTGGAATTTCAGTTGGAGATACATTTTCTGACTGATGACTGTCTTGGTCTATTTGCTTCTACAAGGTATTTTATCCGATTCAGGTTGTTTTTCAGCTCCGAAGGAACCGTCCACTACTGGTTTAATTTGTACAGTGGGATCGTTTTCTACTTTAGGGATATCAGTTGGAGATACGTTCTCTGACTGAGGACTAACTTGATTTATTTGTTCTACTGTTGTCTTATCAGATTCCGGTTGATTTTGTTCTAATGAAGTACTGTCCACTACTGGTTTGTTTTGTTCAGTAGGTTCATTTACTAAATTTGGAATTTCAGTTGGAGATAAATTCTCTGACTGAGGGCTATCCGTGTTATTCTGTTCTACAGCTGTGTTATCAGATTCTGGTTGGTCTTCAGCTCCTGAAGTGCTGCCTACAACTGGTTTATTTTGTTCAGTCGGTTCGTTTTCAACTTTCGGAACATCAGTTGGAGGTACAATCTCTGACGGAGGACTATCTTGATTTATTTGTTCTACTGGCGTCTTATCAGATTCTTTTTGGTTTTCAGTACCCTTACTACTATCCACTGCTGGTTTGTTTTGTTCAGTAGGTTCGTTTACTACCTTTGGAATTTCAGTTGGAGATGAATTCTCTGTTTGAGAGCTTTCCTGGTTATTCTGTTCTACAGCCGTGTTATCAAATTCTGGTTGCTTTTCTGCTACAGAAGTACTGTCCACTACTGGTTTATTTTGTTCAGTGAGATCGTTGACTACGTTGGGAAATTCTGTTGGCGTCATATTTTCTGACTGAGAACTATCCTGGTTATTTTGATCTACTGGTGTCTTATTAGATTCTGGTTGGTTTTCAGCACCCGAACTACTGTCCACAACTGGTTTATTTTGTTCAGTAGATTCGTTTTCTAATTTAGGGACATCAGTTGCAGATATATTTTCTGACTGAGGACTGTCTTGATTTATTTGTTCTGTTGGTGTCTTATCAGATTCTGGTTGATTTTCAGCTCCCGATGTACTGTCTACCACTGGTTTATTTTGATCAATGGGTTCGCTTTCTAGTTTTGGAATTTCAGTTGTATATGAATTTTCTGACTGTGGACTGTCTTGGTTTATTTGTTCTACTGTTGTCTTATCAGATTCCTGTTGATTTTGTTCTAATGAAGTACTGTCCACCACTGGTTTATTTTGTTCAGTTGGTTCGTTTACTACCTTGGGAATTTCAGTTGGAGGTACATTCTCTGACTGAAGAGTGTCTTGGTTTATTTGTTCTACTGGTGTCTTATCAGATTCTGATTGGTTTTCAGCTCCCGAAGTACTGTCTACTACCGGTTTATTTTGTTCAGTGAGTTCGTTTACTACGTTGGGAAATTCTGTTGCCGATACATTTTCTGACTGAGGACTATCCTTATTATTTTGGTCTACAGGTGTCTTATCAGATTCTTGTTGGTGTTCAGCTCCTGAAGTACTGTCCACTTCTGGTTTATTTTGTTCGTTGGGTTCGTTCACTACTTTAGGAACATCAGTTGGAGATACATTTTCTGACTGAGGACTGTCTTGATTTATTTGTTCTGTTGGTGTCTTATCAGATTCTGGTTGATTTTCAGCTCCCGATGTACTGTCTACCACTGGTTTATTTTGATCAATGGGTTCGCTTTCTAGATTTGGAATTTCAGTTGTATATGAATTTTCTGACTGTGGACTGTCTTGGTTTATTTGTTCTACCTGTATTTTATCAGTTTCTGGTTGTTTTTCAGCTCCTGAAGTACTGTCCACTATTGGTGTATTTTGTTCAGTGGATTCGTTTACTACTTTAGGGATTTCAGTTGGGGACAAAATTTCTGAATGAGCAGTGTCTTGATTTTCTATTTTAGGAGGATTTTCATTTTCATTGGATTCCGTTTCAGTTTGTGGTTTAGTGTCAGAGTGTTTGTCTGGTGTTTGTTCATTATCATTTGATTTAATTGGGTCTTTTTCAAATACAGCGATATTTTCAGTAGTTATATCTTCTTGAGGCTTATCTTGGACATTATAACTCTGTGTTCCGCTTTCTACAGAATTTTCCGTCGATGCAACTGGTAAATTGGACGTAATACCGTCTTGAATTGAGTTGTTATCTGGAATTTCGTTACTATTATTTTCTTGGTCAACCTTATCGTCATCATTTTTATTGGAAACCGTTTGAGTAGTAGAAGGAATATCGTTTTCATTTGATGAAGGATCAGATGATGGTAACTTCATCGGTTGCGATTCGCCGATTGATGTCGGCTCATCGGGTTTGTCGGTACTATCAAAACTAGCTTGTACAGATTCTGTACCAACAGAGTTTTCCTGATTTATTAAATTTGGTGCAGCACTCGCAGTTTCTTGATTGTTTGCTTCGTTTAATTTATTTGCACCATCACTATTTGGTAATATATTTGTTTCTCCTGCTGCGTTATGATTATCTAGAGAAGCGGCCGTAGTATCATCAGACTCCACATCATTCCCGTCATCTTGTTCGTTTGATGGTTGGTTCTCTCCCAGTTTATTGTATACATCTTCATTTAATGGGAATTTTTCTGCTTCGTTTTCGTCTGAATCACTTAGCGACATTGGTAGTAGCGTCGATGTGTCATACGAACTGTTCGTTTCATTTGCTGTAAAATAATAATAAAACACGCTCAAGTTAATACACTGAGATTTTTCTGAAAATGTTTTTTTAAACTTGCAACTTTTGTAAATAAATATATTATATATATATATATATATGAATCACATACCACATTGATACGAAGTTGGGCAACATTGACCAGCTGGTGGTGTTTCCGGTGTGCAGTCTTTTCCTCTGAGTGGTTCACCGCAGTCTTGAACTGCACACACAATATCACCTCTCATACAATAGCAATGTTCGCAAGGTTTTTCTGAGACCATAGCTATAGACTCTCCATCTCGGTAAGTTTCTTCGTTAACTCGGCAATCGAACGGCGCGGAAGTAGTGGAAAAGACTAGTCCACCAGTGATTTGTGGTGCCGACGTAGTAGATTTTTCGCTTTCATAATCTATACAAACATTTGAGATACGATTAATATCACTGTTAAGGCAACATACACACTCACACTGTGAAATGTATATAATATACTATAAAGTGAGTTTCTAAAGTACTACTACTAACTAACCACAATCGTATCGAACAGGACAGCAAACGCCTTCATGGTATACCGGTCGACAGCCTTCCACGTGCAACGTACACTCTTGCATGATGCAAGCTGTTCGGTTTCTGATACAGTAACAGAGTTCACACGGTTTTTTCGGATTGGGAGGAACCTATATACAAACGTGGATAAAGACAAACATATTATGATCAGATTTTTTTGATAGGACATGACAACGAAACAATGATCGTTTCCAGACTTACCTGTGCCCCATCAGGAAAGAATTCGTTTTCGTCCATCATGCACCCGTAGTTGTCGTGCCATCCAATTTCAGTTGTTGTCGTCGGTGTCGGCGTGGTTGAACTGGTCAACAGGTGTACTGGCACTGTAACATCCGAACCAACTGGGTGGCTTATTGATGTACGAATTTACAGAGTTTTATTTTTATATTTAATAACATACCTTCCGGGCAAGATATGGTAGGACAACATTGATCCGGTGATTTCTGTACCGTGCAGTCTTGTCCAATTGCTTTTGAAAACGGACACACTCTCAGGTAGCACATCAGCATTCGATTGTGGCAAGTACAGTTTAAACACGGTTCGTTGGTCACTATGCGGTCACCTTCTTCGTAGTGTTGATAGTTATAGTAACAGCCATTTGGGTCTAGACGGAAAAAACCATGTTATAATCGATAAAATTGTGCACATAGTGTGTTGTATTACCTAAGTAAAATATAATAAAAGCTTATTTATGATCTAATTAAAATTATATGTATACGTTTCTTGAAAAAACGTTGTCCAATACGAGATACAGTTATATATGAATTATTACTATTTATACTTTATAGGTACTCGTATAATAAGTAATAACTATAAATTATTAACTATTAACATTATTTTATCTCATAATTCTGCATGCATCCAAATCAACGTAAAACCATTTCTAATTACTATTATGAAGAAAATTATTTGTAGGTAGTCAATGTATTGATGGAATTTCGCTTGAATTGTGAGTAAAGTAATGCTATACTTTTATCAAATAAAGAATCTGTCCGTATATTTTTATTTTGAACTAATGTTTGAAAAAACGCAGCAACGTATTATCGTTGACACCGGTGTAGGTGTTTTGCATAACCGATCAGCCTTCTTATGAGTATATTATACTTTCTTATTTTAATATATTTTAAATATATCATTTTGTATTACAAATTGTGACGTTGCGTCTACAAACTTTGATGTAAAAATAATGAATTGTCTTTATTGTGCGTATCAAAGAATTAAGCAATAGAACTACGAAAAAATTAAAAAAAAACTATAATATAGCACACTAATAAAATAAAATAAATTGTTTTGAAGTGGTTTTAAATATTAAACCGTCAGTGAAGAAACATGTCTAATATAATTTACACTCATTATTTGAGTTTTTTTTTTCAAACTAGTGTTGTTGCTACTTGCTTGTTGGCGATTCGTTTCGGCCGTGAAAAAAAATTAATCCGTATGCTTATAACTACAGAATGATATTCAATAATAATAAGGTTCTTACCATTAAAATAGTCGGCCAAGTCTGTCCGTTTTGCTTCGATTTCATCGTAAGTCGTCGGAGCTGAAACACAAGAAAATCGTTTTCTTTATTATATCTGTTTGGATCATGTGGTGTTCGTCTTATGATGTGTGGGAAAAAATACCATTAAACCAGGGTCGTGCCTAATAATGTTGTAGTAATAAAGTAGGTACCTGTATGGGAAAAAAAATAAATACATTTGTCGACGATAACGTCTATACTACCGCGCGAGTATGCAATCATAATATAACTACTACGCAATATAGTGCGTATACGTTTATTGAAAAACGATGATGGTCAGCGATACAATATATCAACAACAGACAAAAAAAAATAACAACAACAATAATAATAATAATCGTTTATACCGTTAAACGCGATCTCGTTTTCGCACGCCCCGCACACAACAATGGTTACACCATACATAGACGCCGTGTCTATATAATAATAAAGATAATTTCCTACCTATCTGTGAGGACGATTTTTTTATTTCTCGGTTTTCGAGTTGTGGGATATGGACTTAACGAGCGTGTGTGCTGGCGGAGACGCAGGTCGTATAATATGTCGTGGCAGTAAACCGCGTAAACGTGATGATAGATATTATAATAATATGAAGGTATAGACCATAGAGGGTATATGGTACCTCGCAGGAATAATATGTACCTGGAGGATTTGACAGTAGTAGCTGCTCGTTTGAATTGTTTTTTTCAATCGCCAATTCCCTATAAACTAGGTTAGTTACAGAACACCCTATTTTATACGATATGTAATTGTTTGTTTGTATAATACCTAATACCAAGAATTGCCGGAAATTGATAGCTGATTGCAAAAAATTACGTTAAAATACAAGTACAAATATTCACCTATAATTAATGGTTTTATTTAGTGAACTTAACTTTGAAGTTTCTAAAAGTAGGTCTCAAATCTAACTTTTTTTTAATTGAACACCATATTATAATCGATAATTATTAAATACGACTTAAATTTATTATGATTAATTTAAATTTCATAATTATTTTAATAACTAACCAATAAGCATTAGTTTGATTATTTAAATTAGTTAAATATACGTCATATAGAGTAAAGATTATAAATTATAGTTTTTTTTAAACTTTATATCAGAATTTCATAAAAACTTAATATTTTTTTAAAACATTGCCGTACCACAATTTTTGTTCCACTTTTAATATAGTATAGGTACCTAATAGGTAAAAATGTAAGTACAAGTGTATATTTCTAAAATGAAATTTAAAAATTAACAAAACTTGGAACAATTTAAACAAAAAATTTGTTATTTCCCTCCAACAGAAGTACAACATAATATCATACACTGCAGTATATAATACAATTTTATAGGTACCGCTATATCATATTCCAAATCAAAAACAACGTATATGTACACTGTAGGTATACATACCCTTTATATACCATTATAGTTATATTATATGCTATATATTGTATACGACGAGTTCGAGGTGCGACAATGATCACTGCAACTACCTATATATATATATATATATAAGATATATTATAATTTATGGGAAATGGAATTCGATCGAACCAACTGATCTTTGCAAGCACCGTCCGTTATGTAGTGCATACCGACGATAGGTTCGTTGCAGGTCTAATCTCACACGGATTCCTCCTATGATCGGGAGATCCGTCGCCGAGCGTATATTATGATCTTCGGACTGTTGACATGTGCGTTTAATAGGGTCTCTCTAATACGCCTATAACTGTATACCTGCACCGTGTTTATTTTTCAAGACGATTGATCACGCGGCCAGATGTGGGACAATCGAGTGGAGTTTCCACGTACTTACACGTGAAGGTATCATACATTATACCTGTACGACACTGGTCGAACGAGGTTTAACGGCACCACTCGTGCCGCCATGGTCGGGGTCGTCCCGCGATATAAAACATACGGTCATCAGCAGCGATATCGGAAGTTTACCGGCGACAAACATTTTTTTCTTAAAATACCACGTATATTATTATCTATTAGTGTAAGCACCGTAATGGCGAGGAACCGGTTATCTCGAAATAGAGACGAATACCTAATAATAATAATAATAATAATAATATGATTATATTAACGATAGAAACGGAAAAATCGGAGAGAGAGAGAGAGAGAAAATAGCTGCAGTCTATAATAATGTTTTGGACTCGACGCGTCGTGTTGCAGCTGCGGCGGAATTTTGCATTTTCCGATACGCGTATACGCACACGCGATAACTGCCGCTATACCACATTACCACCTATACCTAAATACCTAATCATAGAGGTAGTTGTGCAGATGGGATACGACGACCGCGGTAATTGACGGTTCCGAGACACGATACTATGGCGGAGAGAACTCACAAATTCCTCGAGACGTTGACGCGCACGAATGAGGCGTGAGTTTTTTTTTGTCCCGACCGAGACGTTTAAGCTTTAAATATTATAAGCGTTAATGAACTTGGTATACGTAATTTATTATACACAAGACTCGACCGAAACGAACGGACGATACTATACAATATAATATTATAGTATAATATACCGATTTGGGTACACTATACATAGAGAATTTGTGTATAGTGTATACTGTATAATATGTAGTGTGTAATATATTAGATTCGCGGTATATCATTACCAATAGGAACTGCACATGACGGATTTATCATTTTTACGGCTATAGGCACTAGACAATTTATTTTGCTGCTCCTAATTGAGCCCCTAAGCTCGTTTATATTATATATTATTATGTTATGTTTATTAATTTTTAAACTCTAAAAATATATTTAATCTTTTTCAATAGACTACTAAAATAGCTATACTAGGAACACATTATTATTTACAATAATGTGATATTTATAAAACATTGTAACGTCTCGTCCACACTGAATAACACAATACATAAGTCGTAAATTCCTAGGAAATATACTTGAATTTAGATTTTTAGTTCTGTTTCGGAAACTTCTAAAACCGTGTCAACATCATTATCATATACAGCGGGGCTGGGTGCATAATTTTTTTTTGCAAACATTTAATATTACCTAAACATATTTTGTATATATTTCACATATTGTAATAATTTATAGAGCTTCCTTTTTGGTTTTAATCTGACGACATTGCGATTACCTTTTCCGGGTATATTATTTTCATACAAACGTCGATCTCAATAACAATTTGATTTTTATTTCAACAAGGAATAGTTCCTGTATAAATTGATTTTGAATGTTATAATATAGCATGTCTTAGAACCTTAAAGTTTCTGAATACTTTTCTATAACTGTTAACGTATATGCCTAAGTGCATGTGTAATATTTAACAGATATGTGCGCACATTTTAGACAGTTTAGTGCAGCAAACTCACAGCCTTCGTGGTTATTATTTACTGAGTAGGTATACAATATTGTTATAACGATATACTGAGCCACGTGCGTCAATATCCCGTTTTGACAATAACATTATTTGTATTGTTTTTTGCGTCGTCTTCATCAGGACGTGGTTCTCCGCGTTCTATGTACCTGCTGCAGTTGTGTCCACAACAACTCTGGTCGGTCAACAGCGCATCATCAAAATTATATTATAATATCGCCGCCGCCGCTCAACAGGTACTTATATAGTTATATCCGCGGACAACTCACACGGAGACCCACAACCCGGAGACGACGATATGATCAGCTGTGCGCATCCTTTTCGACGCCCATCGTCGCCCCGACACCGTAGTCGCTGTCCGCGGGCGCGTTTACATTAGCGAAATTATTCTGGAAACGCGTTTGTAATAGTATAATAATGTGTGCGATGATAACGGTCCACCACGGGCCACACTTCCGTCCGCGGCGGATTTTCTCACGGCATTATGATATGCGCACAAGCTATAATATATAATGTGCTTTTAGGCACTATCGTCCACCCATTTTTCCCTCCGAAATGTTCAAATAACAATTCGGGTCATATATTATTATTATTTTAACTCCGTCGCACTCACTCGTTATTATTACCTCTGTATTAGTGTAATCATTTGCGGACGTCTGAACAGTTATAATATTATAATATTATATTATATAGACACGCGAAACGCCCCGCGGAAACTAGACGACCGGTGTGATCATTTCGTAACACGAGAATATTAAAATAATAATAATACTCCGCATACTCTGCGCTACACCACAGATTCTAAATCATCGTATTATGATACAGCAGTTCCTTAAAATATATATAAGTCGTGTATTATGGGTACCTCTATAAGTTTAAGTCATCATGTCATAATATTATGCGCGTGCGTATACCGCGGTTTTCACGAAACATTTTCGTTCGGCTGTCCCGTTCGGTTGCCGTTTTTGGGCGTTGTTGCATTCTACATTATTTATTCGCCCGCTCTCGCAGCAGTCATATTATTATTAATAATAATTATGGCTGTGTGTGATTTATTGTGTTCGTAGAAACCTGCAGCTATATATAGGACTGTAAACGGTCAGTTTTTCCGGTCGTCCGTCCGCTGTACAGAATAATCATAATAATCCGAGCTTCTGTCGGACGATGTACCTACATCATACACGCGAATATTCGTATATATGTTTGTCTGTTTTCGTGTCTCAAACTGGATCGCACAAGAACGGCCGCTCGCGATCGCGAGATTTGATATTTTTTCGAATGTGTAGCCATTATTGTGCTGCGTCGTCGATTATATTTTTATAATGTGCCTACGCGTGATGTGAAACGTGCACGAACGCGGTGTGCCCTGCTGCACCGGTGTGGTGTGATGATCGAGGGTCGGCAGAGCGCACCGATTACGCGAGAATCGTGAAGTCTGCGTGAAACGTCGGTTTACGGCCAAGTTCATGGATGTCCGATTATTGTGCCCCGCGGGTCTTCGCTGCAACTAATGGACGACCGCATTGTGTGCAGTTGCAGCGGCAACGTAATCGCCTGTCCTTCACACCGACCGATGTCTCGTAAAATATGTTATTATCATCATTATTATTATTATTATTATTATTATTATCGTGTATAATAAAGACGAAAGTGTTTTGTGCGTCGTGCCGCCACCGCAGTATTTTCGTCCACAATTTATTCTATCGTCGTATACGCGACATCATCACGACATATAACATGGATATAACAATATTTACGTCAGTGAATGAATGATGTTTCAACTCGGTCGATCAAATACTCTATGCCTCTATAATATAGTGATTGAATTCAGAAGCTACATATTATTTATTATATACCTAGTTGAAATCGGCTCGCAGACTTGTTATAAATAAATAGCTGGAGTACGACAGAGTAATAACAAGAACATAAAGTGGTATACATAACTGCTTGTAGGACTGATAATTATTGGTATACCGGTAAATATTTTTATAGTGGATCTGCGTTGCTGCTGCACAATTAGGTATTATATTATAATATGTGATTATATACTATAACATATTAAAATAATATATAATATGTATATAAATAAGGTGGGTACCTACTACATAACCGGACTGTCGTTTTAATCTACTACTTTACACACTATACCGGCCGTGTACTATTGTCCTTTAGGACTCGCTCAGAGAATAGGCTGCACTCATCCCCCGGAACGGCGGCGAAAGCGAAATAATTTTTTTTCATATTATATACACTCATTTTATCACTTTATACGAAAAGGGTTTATATAATAATACAATAATATAATATATTATGTAGTACTTATATTATCCAACGACAACCGCGAGCGAAACAATGGGCGGCGGGCGTCGGCGGCAGCCAAGCCGGACCATAAAAGTAAAATAATACCTAGGTATACGAGAGATGTGAAAACTTTGAGCCTCCGCCTCCGCCCTGACACCCCCGCGCACCCCCTTAATCGCATCACCGTAACGGGGCGGCGGCGTTTACACGCTGCACAATGCGACGACCGTGTAAAATGCAAAACTCGCGTGACCTTTACTCCCCTCTGGTCTGCGTCGCACGACGACGGTCGTTTTTAATGTTATGCGTCCGTCTTTGCGGCGAACTTGTAGCGCACATTTCGCCGCCAAAGCGATTGAATGCTAAATCTCATTCGCCACAGCCGCAGCTGCTGCTGCAGGTATTCACCGCCGCCGCCGTCGATATTATATATTATATTATATAAATGGCGAAGTCGTTGGAGTGCTGAATAATTCATCGCGACACGGGGGACCGACAGCAGAGAGATTTTGATTTGACGCGACGTCCGATGAGTTTGTTTTTCGAAACGACCGTGCGAACGGACGACAATGCCTTTGGCCGCGGCGGGCGCGCGCTCGTCGATAAACGAGTCGTAAATAATATTATTTATGTCCGTCGCGGGCTGACAACAAAGTAGGTACGAGCGAGCCGCCTGGCAGACCTCTGCAGTGCGTATATTATTATTATACCTACCGTATGGGTACGAGAATAAACAATTCGTGTATTTTATCATATTATGTTCCTATATTGTATAATATATAGGACATAGGTACTTATATGTGCACAACAATATTATGGGTTCGACCAAACGTTGTGCTTGTGATGGTTGCGAACGGTCGAGGAAGTAAGTACGTCATGTCATATTTTAATATTTACAGAAAGGGATTTAGTCTTTAATCTTTATCCGATAGTTTAGAACAACAAAAATAATAACAATAATATCGGGATGAACAGGGTTTAGTGCGCAATTCAATCCTCATCTATATAATCATATATACAATGGATGAATAAACATAATATTAAATCTATGCTCAATGGGTATACCTATTAATAATATATATATTATTATTCTAATAATTCTTTCAAAAACAAAAAATCTGTGGCTAATCGCATTAATGCCTGACATCTAAAAACCAAAACAATAAGCTATTAAGATATGTGTATTATATACTTGTAAGTTGTAACTTGTAAGACTTGAAGAGAGTGTTTCATAATATGGTGTTATAAAAAATTCAAATACCTAGGTATGAAAAAAAGTTTTTCTGCGTACCTATTACCTATGCAATAATTATAGTAACAGATATAAATCATAATTTGGACAAACAGTTGGTATTTTATTGTTTATTTTTTTATAACACGTATGCTGCAGAGATAAAAAATACATGATTAAATGGGTTTTCCGTGATATTTGTGTGCGGGTGGGTTTTTGAACAGATTTGTGCAAGCAAACACTATTGCGTACATTATACTATATAGATCGTGAAGAAAAAAGCTTTCAAAGGTTTACTATCCTTTGTAGTTTCAGCCAGAAAAATGCCGTGTTCGGAGAAAAGCACACAAAGGCTAATCTCTCAAATGCGACTGTGTGTCTTGAAATGTAAAAAAAAGAAGAAATCGCATGGTTCGTTACCGGCTGCAGCTGTATCGTATATAGGTATAACAATATATTATTATGTATTTTTTGTTATAGGTATAGTGATGGGAAAAAAATTTAAATCTGTATGCAACACATTTTTTAGACACTTAAACAGGAGCTTGTATAAATGTACGTTTAATATATATATATAAACCACACTAAGTGCGGGTACTCACCAGACTTTGTTAGTGTCACGCAGACGACCAATATGAGAGCCGCGGTCACCCCGCAGCGGTGATGGAAGCTCGTGGGAGCAGCACTCCCCAGAGCCATGTCTAGTTGCATCGGCCTGGAAAAAAAAAACGGTAAAATTAAAAAAAAAAGTTTTAAATAAAAAACGGCATCTGCATGTTGTACAACTGCAGTGCAGTATCGACGCCGAGGCCGAAACCGGTTACGGGGCGATATTATGATCGACAATACGGTATTAATGTGTGCTATTTTCGATCGCATTCGCGTTATAATAATATATTAAATTATGCATGCAAGCCCGCGATGGACGACGACGACGATGATAATAACGTTGTGCACGTCCCCTCGGGGTGGACCGCGGAATGCGCACGCGCGTAGACATTTCTCGAGGTTTTGTTATAATATTGTATCGTATAATATTATGTAGATTGTACAACGATTTTCGCGGTCGTGATTTATAAATAATGATTAATGATATACCTCTTACCTAGTTACCTATACACTCGGTGTGCTTTTCTATCGGCGCGGGTTACCGGCTATACCGTTACATTATTATTATTATTATCATTATAGGTTGCTGAGACTGCTACAGCATCGGACTTCCATGACCGTATGAGACTCTGCTCTCTGCAGCAGGTGTGTGTGTGTGAAACTGTAAGCCTGGTCGCAAGTATGGCGGGCAGGTAAGCAGGGGTAAGTATACATACCTACATCTATATATAGGTATTAAATTATGTGTACTACATCTCGCGGACACACCGGACTAACCAGTAACCAGTCACCGAGGGTTTAACGGCCGTTTATATCTATTTTTATATTATATATTATTAATCCCATATATCACTTATGTACCTATTGAACATAATATACGGCGGCTGCTACGGTGACGATGTATGCAGGAAAATAATTATAGTGAATTAAAGTGATTATTATTGGGACTCGCGTCTCATAGAATTATTATTATTTATAATAATATATTTATGCTATATTAATAATTATTAGGTAAGTGAATATGATTCGTTTGATCGGAGCAAAACGATAGTAAAAACTAAAAAATCGAGCCACTGTTAAATACCGACCAATTTCCTCGTCTAATCCAACATTTCCAGCAATATTCTCAATGTATTATTATTCCCAAATTAGTAAGTTTCATAAATAATTAGACTAATGTATGAAGAGTGTGTAGTTTAATTATTGATAAATCTGCCAGTAAAGACACATATTTGTTGACTCGGACCGGTAGGCACCAGGCAGAAAACAAATATAGCTAAAAATGAGATTCAAACTGCGGTTGAATAATACGGATGACATAAAATAATTTAAGTTCCCTGGTAACGATTTTGTCACTACTGCTGCTTATATGTACACATTAGTCGAATTTGTTAAAGAGATACTATTATATTATATCGCACTACTTTATTAGTTAACACTTTTCATCCCTCTTTTTTTGTTTTTGAAAATAAATTAAGATATATTGTATTCTATAGTTTTCGTGTAAAATTTAATATTAAAAAATAAAAGCACGACTCATATCAACCATATCTATAGAGTATAATCTTACTATTGTACTAAACAGAAAATATTATAATAAAATTATCATAAAAATTATTTTCTAAGAATAAAGATTGTACGTGTATTTACGAAATTTTAATATCCTATTTCTGTGTTATTTTAATGAATTTCAACCGAAATGTTTAAATAGCCTGGAAGTTAAATAACTGTACATTATATATAATACGAATGACGAGTGCCTAAATGTAAGAGTTAACATACGTGATTATTGTAAATTGTAATCACGTGCTTATGCGAGACTGTATCCCGGGATTGTTGAAGATCGCCATCTTCGACGTAACAGTTTTGTCTTGAATTTTTATTATTTTTAAATTTGGTTCTCTAAGGCTAAAATTGTTATAGAGTTTATTATAATGTAGGTTAATTGGTACGTTATATTTTGACCAACCGGTCGCAGCACACGTAGGTCATAATATTATCGTCGGCGGACGTAATAAATAATATTTTGAATTCGCGAAAAGACCCTCTAGGGCTGTCTGGACCCTCGGTCGACCGCTGTTTGGCACGACGGTATAATAATATAATGATGATGATTCAATCGGTAACGGTCTGTTACAATATAATAATAATAATAATCTTATGCGATAGGTACGATATTATTCGCGTTATAACATGGTAGGTAAGCGTAAACCGCGGTAGTGAACCGTGAATACATCGCCGTCCGGAGGCGAAACATAAAAAAAAATTAATATATAATATTGGTACCGCGCTCGTCCGTACACGATCATAATATTATTTATATCGTTATATATTTTTTTTAATAGAGAAAAATAACGTACCCATTCGCATATTATTCATTAAAATATTATATGAGTAACGTGGTACAGCGTCCGTTTATTATTATTATTATTATTATTATTTTTTCTACTTTTAATGATTCCAGAAAAACCGAGGTCCTTAAACTCTCGACATCACATGTGTTGTTCATAATAATTATTGTTGTTGCATATCACATAGCTGCATGCCCATACATAAACACGAAGGCAATGACGACGACGACGGCGACGCTATAATAACTAAAAATAATAACAATATTGAATATTTTATTGACGATAGCGGAAGAAGCAGAAAATTGGATATTCGTGTGTGCGTGGAAATCTGTCTTAAAATTTTCAATTCAAACGTAATTGCGCGTGTCCTCGGTTCGTGCAGCGTTTTTTTGCGAGCGTTTATAGGCATTATAAGTACACATTATGCATAGGTGCACGACTGCACGAGATGGACGGTGATTATATTATTATATATCGTAAGCCGTGAGGAGCGTATTGCGTTTGCTATAATGTTTGTCTTACCGTAACCGAAATGGAACTTCGTCGTCGCCGCCGTCGTATATCGTACTTTAATATGTTATAATGCACCGTTTGTAATCCGATTTGAAATTATATATTTTATATATGTATAAATAATATTGTAATAATAATATGTGTATTACGTCATTATACGATACTATTTTTTATATTTATATAATTCCTTTGCTCGCAATATTATTATAATACGCACGTAGGTACGACGTACCCGATGGCTATGAACCAATACATTTTACGACCAATTTTTTTAAAAACTTATATATGATTATGATTTATGATTATAGCCCGTCGGGTCAATCAAATTCATCATCGAATTTATCGTTTTTCTGGATATTTTAAAACTACTGTTTTCTATTGTTAATCCGAATTTTGGCATCTTTTAGCAATATTGATATGACTAAAGGAATTTTCGGAAGTTTCGTCCAGGATTATTCATGATTATCCGTCATCGGATGTGACTTAGGCAACACGAGAAACGACATAGGCGGTAGATAAGCTATATTATATATAGCTGTCAGCTGATGGTATAACTCGAATTTTATGTAAATCATTTCATGTAGGCGTATAATGTATATTACGAAGTCGGGGCCGTTTAGGGCGTGCACCTATATTTTCGTGGTTATCCCCAAAACGTATCCCCATCACCAGACATGTCGAGAGTGGATGCTGCGATACCCACAAGGCACAAAATAACGATAGCTGTTAAGAACATCGCATCGTAGATGTTTAAGTTCTATAAATAGAAACATTTTTAATATCTGCTTATTAGGTTGGATGTGTCGTAAATAGCGTATTTTGTATTATGTATAATCTATATAAACGCGCGTACGTTGAGATGAGCACTCGTGCGTGGGTACCTAAGCATCCATATGTTATGTACCTATGTATATACGCGTATAACAAAATAATATATAAAAAAAAACTACCTGTTTAGTCGCCGCCGTCGTAATATATATCGAGAACACTTGTTTTCGGCGCTCAACCCACTCGTCGTCGGCGGTACACGATGGTTTTTTTTATTTTATGATATATATATTTTTTTTCCTACGTCTGAGTTACGACGACCGTCCGTTACGGGAGACAATTGATTCTGCTTTCGTTTTTCTATCCGCACCGTATGCATATATATATATATATATACACACCTCAATAGGCGCCGTCCGTAGGCCGCCCGGCAAGGTCGTCGTCTCGGCGGCAGGCGACCATCCAATAACATAATATATAATTCGTGTTCACGAAAACAAAACTAAATTTGTTCTAACGCGTCTCTTTTCGATGACTGTTTAACAACCAAAGTCGCGCTCGTTAAAGATGAAAGGAGTGATCAGTAGAGGGATCTAACATGTTTTCAAAAAACGGACAATAAACCGTCAATAAGGTTAACTTTTTGTTAAAATGTCTAGTAGACTTTTTTATCGTCCACGATATATTTGCTTCGCAGTGATTTCGAAAAAAACCATGAATTGGAGTATTCAAAAGGAACTCTTCTTTGCAACAGAATTATGTGTTTGTTTTTCGATTCAGAAAAAAAGGTTTCGATTAGAGGAGGGAACAATCGCTACAAGTCGCCGTATATGTACATAGCAGCCGACTCGTAACTCACGAAAACGTGATAATATATATGATATTATATGTTATTTATTGCCTTTGGCGGTTATTCGACAAATTTTCGATCGAAACTCGAAAGAAAACGGACGTCGTGCGGGCTTTAATTTTTTTCCTCTCGACATATTCGTTCCCGTTATTCCAACGGTCATCTCGGTGGTCTCGTGATCAGGCCATCTCTCGGCGACGACGATAAAATACGTTTTGAATCATGGATCACACGATGGTATTATTATGTATAATATACGGTGAGTACCGGGTAATGGGTATCGTACAGGTTTTACTGTATATGCTTATAGCGCTGCAGATGTCTGCGTCACGTCGTCGGCGGTTGGTTTTTTTTTTTATTATATCCGAGGACCGAGAGAGTGATCGACGTAAATATCAATAATGAAATTGCGCACTTAAAGATGCGGCACATTAATATAATAGTAATATGTTTCACGTATTACACCGATCATAATTAATAATAATGATACTAACACGAGCAATATATTAGGTCCGAGAGTGTTGCACATAATAATATTATGATTATCGTGTATTTTTTTATGCGTCGAGAGACATTACCGATCGGGGGGACATACAGTGCAGAACGAGTGACGGAGAGAG